AAAAAGCCACTGTTTGCATCTAATTTTCTAACTCCCTAAAATAAGGCAGGAGTAGGTCCAGGGAGCACTGTAATGAAGAGTACCCACTTCCTGCCTGGTGCTGTGCACTTGTCTTGCAAGTTCACTAGCACAAGACACACACACAAACTTGTTAACTTAAAGACAATGACATAGCTGGCCATATGTATATCTCAGGCCAAAAGTGCTGATATATACATATATATATTTTTAAATAACTACCAATGACACCTATGGGTTACTGGCCTGCCAGATGATTTGCCTTGATGTCCCTGGTTGTAGGTTCAAGTGCACTAAATTCAAAGGGGYCCAAGAAAGGAAGAGGTTTGCTAGGTTTCAAGTGAGGTTTTGATGGTGAATTGATTGCTAATCACTTAAATCTCCCTTTACAGAGAATTTAAGCTAAGTCACAACATTATCCTTACATCTGAATATGGAAGAAAGAAGAATGTCAGCTGCGTGGGAGAAAGACTTCATGTATTAATTTTCAGATGCACAGRATGTGGGCCATAATGGAAGTGGTCTTTTGTGCCAAAAGTAGGCAGATATTCTGCACTTAGTGGGAAAGTGAAATGGAAACTTGTTCTTTTTTTTTGTTTTCCTCTTTACCAACATAACCAATCAGTTCAAAATAGTCTGTAATCTGAATTCTTTTTTTCAGTGCAGATTTTGAGAAGAAGAAATTTGTTAACTGCCAAAAGGAATATACAGCCACCAGGGATGATGTGACGAAATTTATGCAGAACAGTTTATCACAACAGGCTGCTTCATCTGTGATCTACCTTTAGCAAGATTTTAAACTCATTGGACTTGCAAATTACYTTAGGAAGAAAGTAATGATTTAATGTGAGCTATCAAGAGTAGGATGGAGTCCAACTCCAACTGCTCTGTGGAAAATTTCTTTTTGAAAATTTTAAAGTCAGTTGTATGAAGACTAAATATTCTCTAGAGAATGACAGAATTRTTCCATAGTTTCATTACAGAAACATATTCCTTTTCAGTGCACAGAAATCCTCCTGCATATGACTTGGTGCTATATTTTCTTCCTGAATTTGCAAACAATTAAAAAAAAAGGTTAAGCAACAACAACAAGCCTCTGAAACTATTTCAGAGTGGTTTTGAGAATCACTTGCTTCCTGAAGATATTAAAATGGAAGAAAATAAATCCTTCTAAGAATTCCTGCTGCTATGTCAGAGAAAGAAAAAAAGAAATCACTGGAGAATATGGTGAAATGTAAGAATTACTACACATTTTGTTTCCCCCAACCTAGTTAACTGAAAGTTTTAGTCTTGGAAGAAATGTAGATATTTTAATAAAATCTTGCTACACAGCATATAGAAAGGAGCTTCAAGCATTAATTATCTGATAACATTCAATTTTCAAATGTGATTAAATGGAAGTGGTAGTTTACACAGGGAAAGATAATGTACACACATCACTGAATGTAAAACACCACCAATAAGTATTGCTTAAATAAATACAACCTCGGCCACAACTTTGTAAATAAACAACTGCTGATACAATCTTTTCTTTTTCCCAGAGAACAATCATACTGAAACAGTGTTCAACACAGCAAAAAGTGTTGAGGGGGTAATGCTTCARGTTAATGAAACTAAGAGATAGCAGCTGTAGCTGCTGTCTTGCACACAGGCCAGATACTGTGTCCTGCTGTAAGAATCTGTATTGGAGCCTATGTATAGAATGGCCATATTGTCTGTAGAGAAGAACTGTATTGAGTTTTCGTTGTCTACCTCAAAACAGTTATGTAAGCACGTTGCTACAGCAGGAGCACATGCTGCAGTACAATAACTAATAGAACAGGCTGAGCTAATGCAAGCATCTCACTGTTTCTCTACAGACAAATCATACTACCTAAATTTAGGTATCATCGTAACTTAGCTTCTAGAACAGCTAAGAAAAAAGGTCTGTTTTAAGCCAAAGTTTGCACCTCTCATATGTTTACAAATAAGATAATAAAAAAAATTAACACAATAAAAATACAGAGTGAAAGATAATACAAGTGCAGCTTGCCCAAACATTGTAAAGTTACCCGATCAACTTGGAAAGCAGGAGTCAGCTATAAGATATCTCTCCTTTATCCCAGGTGTTGTAAACATACATGAATGGTTTATATCCTTACCTTGTATAGTATGAAAATTGATGTCTGGAAGAAAGCCATCAGCAAAAAGARGAAAATAATTAAACTTGTACAGGGATAATGGGAAGCCAGGCCTAGACACTGTTGTTTTAGACACTTCRAATGCAAATTCAAAGGCCCATGTCYRTTAGTGTTCTCACCTGCTTTGCACTGCTTTAAATAAGGAAAGGAGCTGTAAGCCTTCCTTAACTCTCCAATTAAGCTTAATTGATGGCATCTTTGCAATACCAGTATGGAACAAAGCAGGTGGAGACAACCAGTAATTATGATACTAGCAATCCCTTCTTAGTGCCTTATCTGGCATTCTTTCAGAATAGAAAAACTTTGCAAGTCTGCCTAAGTAACATTTAACTTAGAGGCAATTGTAAGGTCTCCRAGGGTTAAAAAAAATATATACCATAGAACACAAGTTCATAAATTCATACTCTTCAATTGCCACTATATAGAACTATATTTTGAGCATATATATCTTAATCTCATTTGGGTGCAGATTAATTCAGAGCCCTCAGTGATGTCAGTCAAYACGAGGAATACACCCTAACTAACTCTGTCCATTGAATTATTTTTTTAAGTCAGTAACATGATTGTTACTTCCAAAATAATAATGCCAGTCAGCAACAAATCTAACACTTGTGTGAATGACAAAATTCTATTTGTATTTTTTAACAAAAAATAAAAAATTGAGATCATTTTTATTTACAATGCTGAAATACCCATATCTAAATAGAAGACAAAAACTGAAGTATAATTTCCATGTGCAAGTCACAAACATTATTTTCTTCATCATTCTCAGCACAAAGACAATAAGAAAAACTAATTTGTTTCTGTATTGATGGTTCATTTATTACGCAGGTCATTTAGTAAACCTAAAGAGCAAAAATTGCTATTGACATAGAATTAGAC